CGCCGATACATAAGTAGAAAATATACATCGGTCAAGCGAGGTAAAAACAAACGTTGCGGTGGTCGCCCAACGGCTCATGACACCAGCTGTAAACACCGTCTGTATGGATAGAAGTACATACAACCCAGAGCTGATCCTCATGAATGTCTCAAGCAATGAGCATTCCATTACAAATGTGGCCTTACACCTTAAACATCGCTGTTATTAAGAGCCCAATGAGCAGTTCACAATTTGTCTGAAACGAAGTGTCCTACGTACCCAGATAAATACCAGAATGCAACGTGGTGATGAAGATATAATCAGGCGTGTATGAAACATTGACTGAATGCAAGCGAACCAGCCCCCTATCCTCGAGAGCGAATACCTTGAAAAATGAACCACTCCTAAGGGAAAACGAAGTTTTCACTCCAAAAATTTCAGCAGGCAACCCCAGTGGACGAACACCGCGAAGGGATGGCATGCTGACTGCTGAGAGTTTCATAAGTAATATGTCCATTTTGTATCACTAAATTGATGGTAATTACAGGCATAAACCAACGACCTGGCACCTCGCTAATCGATTTAGGTGTTACTAATATATATGGCGTGCCGGAATAGGTTAACCTAAACGGACGCGACGGAGTGTCCAAGTCAGAACGAACGAAAGATTACGGCGTCAAACAGTTTGAACTGTTACTTAAATGGGGTTTTATCTGCCGTGGGCCAAATAACCTTTGCAGAGGACCGAAGCAACCTACTGCTCAACTAGTCAGGGTAGCCAATGGGTCGCTAACAAGAAAAACATTTCAGGGTGAGATAAGCTTATGACTGATGTTGAGGTCCAAGAGGCCAACCCATTCGATCCACCGGTATCAGTAAATAATAAAATACGCTAATACCACCAGTGTCAGATGATGAGCGCACCGGACAAGGGTATCACGAACCTGATTGAATATAGGAGTTTCGTCACTTCATGGAATGATGACAATTAATTCACTCAGACAGTTCTGGGTGTCGCTAAAAGCGCCGGGCAAACAAATCACATTGTTTAGGCATGATTGATGAGTGGCGTCGAGCGTGTGCTAGCACGTGTACGCTCGCTTCGCATATCTGACGCCAGGAGTTCAAAACCCAGCACGAACAAGAGTACGCGCTGCAGATAAGCTCCACTAAGAGAAAAACTGGCGTTCAATGATTTCCATTTTGGTGTGTACTCACAAAAATAATTGCGACACATAAGTACTGTTCAAACCTGTAACGTGCATGCCGTGAATGAATTTTCCATTTATTTAGTTGCGTCTAAAGTGTAGTTGAAGAGTGAAATGATTCGTGCTCAAGCTATAAAAGGGATATTGCAGGAAAAGTGCCGGTTTATTGTAGGCATTTGTCATTCTCGGGAAGTGGGTTTCAGAAGAGAGCCCATCCTCTGCGTAAAATGAACAGCTGCTGTATCAAGTTCTATGAAAGGAATCATAAAAAAAATCTTAGTCGTTGTATGGGATAGGACGCTAGTGAAAATTGGTAGACGCTCGATTGGTTACTTATAAATGACGAGGGTAAGTTGCATTAAACAACATGTCAGTAAATAGTTGGTAGTAGGACAGGAGAACTAACAACACCCAAGAGACGCATAATAGGGGTTGACACTGGTAATCCTACCTGCAGGAGGGAATCGCATTTGTTCTACCGGAAGAGTGAGTTGCTGCAAATTCGTCAATTTCAGAATTTGGGCTGGTAGCTCGGAAAATGGGTTACCAGCAAGTCCAAGTACCACCAACTGTGGAAGGGCGCCAATTTCGCTGGGCACAAACTTGAATGCATTGTCTGTAAGAAAACAAACACATAGGTGCTGGATATTTAGGGCGTCAAAGCTACAGTGACAAGGAAATGCTGGCTCTGGATACACCTGCGAAGTCAAGTGGATGCCACATCAAGAATCTTAGAAGGACGGCTAATGCTTAATCTTTACTCTAATTACGGCGTTTACCACGGATATGATCATTCGATCTTCCAACTGACATCCTTAGTTCCACATGCGAGAAGAATCCCAGTAAAACACTGCAAAAGTTGAAAGGTAGTAAACGATCAGCTGAGAACTGGACCCGATTCCGCGCGCAACTGTTGGTTTAAACAGTGACCTTAGTCAAAGCGTATCAGAATGCTATAGTGATTCAAAAAATCTCTACATCTAGTGTAACCATTTGGCGCAAAATGGCGGTGATGGTCTTACTTGGAAAGCACTGCAACTGCTATCTCCTGAGGGTGGTACACTAAGCCATGGTTGGCAAATGATCTGTTAGCCGAGTTCGGTAACTGGCTTGCGAACAGCAGTGAAGCATCGGTGTTGAACACTGATGTCATGCTGTCGATGATGACGAGTTCGGCAACTGGCTTGCGAACAGCAGTGAAGCATCGGTGTTGAACACTGATGTCATGCTGTCGATGATGATGATGATGATTGCGAATAGACTAACTTCCCCCAAGTCAACAGCCAAGTAACCCGCCAGAACCACCAGTATTTAGACATACTGACAGTACCAAACCCGCCTGGGGAACAAACTTTCGTCAGAACGGTCTTTGCTGGGTTATCCTATACCGGTTGTATGAGAGCTGAGTTTGAATTGGTTACCACGAAGAACACCATGGTTGATCAGTATCCACTAATCTCTGTTATTTACTCACTGGGTAATCAAGCAAGATTTTCGGGGTCAGTACATCCTATATGAAGCGGAACATCTCGTGCCATTCACTATAATCCTGGTTCAGATGATCGAATCAAAGTATCAAGAGGTAACGCAGTACTGTGTGGACAGGCCGCGATATGCCTGCAACACACGGGAACATAATCTGAAAATGTATTTCCCGGACAAAAGGGTTAACTTGGAATAGCGGTGAAGGGAAACCAACCTTCAAGATTCAACTTATGCAGGGAAGAAAGCTTCACAAAGCTGGGAGGCAGCGATTGCAAGCGATTTTTCGACAAATTGAGAATCTGCTTAAGTTATAAAGAGAAGCTGATTGGAGACAAACCTGTAAAGACGACAAATTGTGGAATTTATCCGGCAGCCGCTGTAATAGGTTTGAACTCAAGTCAAGCACTTGAAGATGCTGAAGATCTGAAAGGTTGCCTCCGGATTCCAAGTTTCGAAGTGCATTGTTTTGCAGCAGTAAATGGGTTTTAAGCAGGACCTTGGCTAAGGAAAATGTACCAGAAGGAATCTGCTGAAATGCACCAATGCAGGAAACTTACCTCTTTCAATCCACAGTCTGCCAAATCAAACAGATCATCTGGACGTTCTTTCGCCTATTAGAGAGAAACAAGAAATAAGCGAGATGATAGTCTAAGGAAAGCCAGTTGTTAACTGGTAACTTGCAGAATTCCGAGAGGCTCAGTTTCAAGACCAATGCCAAGTAAGGAATGTAAGGAATAAAATTTGGCAGCACAGGGTGGTTACGGTACTCCGGCACAACACCTAGTCATCTTAAGACCTATCTTAAGACGATGACTTCTCAATTGGTTCCAAAACTTTTTCGATTAATTGAAAACTGGGAGCTCTGTGATCGGAGAGCACATAAAAACAAACATGTTGAGGGAAATGCTAAAATGGGTTATAAAGGCCAAATACGAATGGAATAAATAAGGCTGAAATCAGTCAAAGCAAGAAACGTACCAGATACATTTTATGTTCGAAACGTCGTTTCAAGTCGTTATCCTGCTTGCGTGACATTGATCATAGATTCGTTACTGGACCGTCATGAATACACTGCGGGCTCGCTGATCGGTTTCCAAGAAAACAACCACAAGCAAGTTTCCCGGGCGCGTTCGTTTAACTTAGAGAAGATAGCTTGGTGTTCTATTTTCAGACAATTTTCAAAAGGCGTACCGACGCCGACACGCCGAAAGGCGTGTCCAAAGATGAGGACTCGTTGGTTGAAAGTATACGTGGAATGCGACTGGTAATGATGGGAGGGGCTGGAATTCAAACAGAACGATGAAAAATCCGTGACAAAAATAGTGCTATTTTCTTGATGGAACACATTACCCATGAGACTAAATACAGCTTCGACTGCTCATGACCGGTTTCGCCTTTTAGGAGCTCACTAGATAAACGCAGTCCCAGACGTCTTCTGAGCCTTACGCTCTCCTTGAACACATAATTGCCCGCAACAGTTAAAATACACTCGATTGGGTCTCCCGTGAGCATCAAGTCAGTTTACGTACAGTTTGCGCACAATATGGTGTCCAGCTGGAACAAAAGGTTAGCGGAAACTCGGGGACTGTGCCTACCTGGCGAGTCCTACGAAGGATGAGAACAATCGTGAGCTGGCGAAGTTTTCGGCAACAATATGGGTAACGTTCCTTCAAGAAACTGCACTGTTTTTTTTTCGCCGAAAGGACATGGTAACTTAAGACAGCCCTTCATAGCAATATTCATACCGTTATCACAGAAGTCTCATCAAGGTCAAGCCAGAATCTTCGTAATGGGACCAGAAGCGTGGAATTTAGGGAGCTCGGTTCTGAGTGGACTACATCTTAACTAAACAGGGCGTGTTCACTTTTGGTCCGTAGCCCTTCCATCGCTGTGATATCCAGTTAGTTGTAATGGTTCGCCTCCGGACACGCAGTGGTAGCATGCTCACCATAGAGGTCAGCTACATAGGTATCCTCTGACGTTCCCAGTCAAACATCAAAATAATTCCATCTATCTGTCATTAAGGTGCAAAGGTCACACTACTTTCACGATCCCCTGAACTATACATTCCACGAGAGAGGCAGCCTTCGTAAACAGTAACGGTCAAGAGGGAAATTTTGGCAGTCAGTCAGTAGAACCGTGACCAGTGTGCTCTATCTGATCTAACTTCTGCTTCATCTTGGATTTCACATGCCGAGGTTAAGTGTCATGATAATATGGAAGTTGATGTTTTAGAATAGGTGCAACGCTTATACCTCCATGTTAAGAGTCGTTTTGAGTTCTTTTTGGAAACTGCGATGAACGGTTACCCTAAATTGTCAGGAAGGTGCGCCTGTTCACAAATAGGCACAGACCAGCTAAGGCCGCAGCATAATACTCGTCATTCACATGTGACACCTTTTCAGTGCCTAGCTACCACGTCAGCTCGACAGAAGCATGAGGGCTGAGGTACTGTCAGGATACCGAAGCCTAGATAGGTGGATTCGGAGCACGAACCTTCCGGTCAGTAAGTTCCCGACTCAATCACTGAGCTATCTCGAGCTTAAAGAAGCATTTTCATCTTTAAACAATACTGAGAGAGCTCACTTTTCCAGCAGTCCGATGGCCTCTCAAGACAGAAAGGCATACTGGTGCTTCATAAAGTAAGGTGCTGTGAGTGACAGGCTACGACTCAACGTGAACGGTAGTAGTGGGGTTTAAGTTACACAGCTAATGGTCAACTAAAATGAAATTATTCTGCCACGCAATTTATACACCGGCACTCATCGTCACATTATCCTTGAGCAACTCACTGATAATGGTCTCTTGGACATCGCACGTGATCCGAAATTGCTTCCATTTATTTCTCGTCGCACAAGTTCTACGGCCCAAACGCGTCTTTTAATCGACATACCAGCCAAATAATACCTTGCGTCCCAGGAGATACAGCGTCAAGAGAGAGGGCTCAGAAGCAGAAGCTGGATTCCTGGTATCCCTATTACGGTTACTACCTCTTCGAAATTATGGTTTTTACCTTCTAAAGAGGCCACTTTTGAGCAGTAAGCAGTGTTTTAATATATCTGTGGCATCGGCGGTCATGTGGGCAAGCAACTATTACAAGCCGTTCGTGACCTGCCAGTAGTAGTACACGATGTTCAGCGTGAAACTGCAATGTTACTACTCCCAGGGCGAACGATGATCACAAACGGCCTTTTGGTCGTTGAGGTTCTGTCAATTGTGGATGACTGCATCGAGAGCGCATGGTGATACCGCGTTCTGTGTGTTTTCCAGTCATCATGTATTTCATTCAAGGCATCCATGAATAGACTGGATAAAGCCAGTCGCTCCTAGCTATGCCTACTCACCGCATATGAACCGCCACATCTCCGGCTATATCAACCACCGTTCACAATGTCAACAAACCACTAGACCTCCCACACCTGCTGCCTCGCCAGCCCCGAAAGATCCTTGTCGCGGATACAGACCGACTACATTTTCTCCATCGACAGAATGACCCACCTCATCTCGATTGACGCTTTCTAAAAACGGTCAGAAATCCACCGTCACAAACGAACATCCTGTGAGTACTGTCCGACAATTCCCGGAAACGTGGGGTGGATGCCATCGTATCGAACGACGAATTGCAATTCACCTTCAGGTTCTTCCAGGAATTCCGCCGTAGGAATACAACCACACAGGTTCTTTCGCCGATCCTTTAGGTGTAGCACCCTTTCAAAGCCTAACTGCCATGCTACCAGAAGGTTGCACGAGGGCTGGGATACTGCCAGGTTGCCCAAGCCTAGGCAGGGGAAGTCTAGGGGCGGAGGTCGAGTTCGAATCACGGACCTTCAGGTCAGTAGATTCGCACTCTAACCACTTGGGTCATCTCGCCCGAATTCTCCCGCCAGTTCTTTCGCCACATACCACCCGCAACCAAACGGTCAGACTGAATGTTTCATCGATACGTTTAGGCAGGTGTTGCCTAAATCTTGGGCGAGGCAACATCCATCGATTTTTTCGGAGACTTTTTGGTTAGTCGACCGCGAAAATCAGAATGGTTCGCAGGAAATTTTAAATCAACCATTAAAGTCTTCATGGGTCAAAAGTTGTGAACCGCCATATTCGCTGTCTCCAGCTCAGATAACTCATTCTAAGTTCAAAATGACAGCCACAGGGGCCAAGTTCGGCTGCGGTCACGCGCACTCGCTCGAGATAGTCGGTAAGGGCGCGGTACCTGGAGCGAGGTACTCCCACGGAGGCTTTTGATGGGCCGGAATGCCCTTCCACGCGAAAATTATACGCATATAAAAGACGTGAGATACTCGAACTTAAGAGCATGATGGGTTGAGTGTGGTGAGGAGCGGGGTCAACGGAAGTTAACGCACCCTTGAAGTCAAAGAATAGCATGATGGTAGGGCACCGATACAAGTATGGCTGCTTGATCACTTAACAGTGTGAAGATGTGGTCCCCACAACCCAATCCGGGACTAGATCCTGCTTCTTGTCCCCGATTGGTGGGGTTGCTTTGTACTTACATGCGGCCCTGCCCATGCCGATTGTCCTCTCTGGTACCACTCCTGCACCATTTTTGCGATGTACTGTGGATCCCAATCCCGCTGCGCGGGTCCGATTCTCTCCTTCTCGGTGTGGTCCACCCTAGCCCCTCGAGTCCCCCTGAAGATGACCAATTCCTCATACGAACCCTTGAGCAAATCTCCTCCAACTGCCTCTTCACGCATCTCCTGCTCCAAAGGCCTCCTGGATGGAGCTCCGGCGTGTCGGATCAAGCGGATATTTTGCAGGGGTGCTGATTGAAGTCGTTCGACAGAGTTTGGACTCAACAAGTCGTTGCACCCATCGGATACCGCACAGGCCGGCTAACATCCTTCCTGAATTTCGTCACCACAAGCGAAAGACACTTCGTTGATCAGGTAATAATTAACGTTCCACTGGGACAAAGCGACCAATGTGTGCTGACGTTTGATTTCAGCTGTTGTTGGGCCAGATCTGGCCCTGAACCTCAAACGTAGTTTCGAGACTTCTGCCGTGCAGACTTCTCAGGAATACGCATAGTTCTTAAACAAGTTAGACTGGGACCAGATTCAGTGGAAGACTTATATAGGACCGTTGTTCAGAAAGTTCACGGGGCTGACGCGATGTTCGTCCCAAAAAACAGCACGCAGTTGGATGAGCCGCAGGCTGCCTAGTAGGATTCGCTGTCTTTTAGAAAACAGGTCCCAACTTCTTCAAAAAGTAGACTACAGGAGACACAGATGAGCTGGCATTTCGTAAAATGCGGAACCGCCGTAAAGCAGGAATCCGCAAATTGAACGTACCTGCATAGCGGGCCAGCATGAAGACGAGCTCTGATTGGTTGAATGTCTTCACAAAGCAGCCAACCACGATCTAGTATCTTCCAAAGGCCCAAGACCGCCAGAATGTTGTCACTGCATAAACTTTATGGGGGAGACTCACCGCACGTGTGTTTTCGGCTTGGTTTTTGACGTTTATACACGTTGTGTATCTTTCCTGGTTGTTTTTAAGGGGACGCTAGATTGGGAGCTACTTACCGACAGCCTATTTGAGAACGTACAGTTATTGCAATCAGATAGTTTCTGAAACTTGATAGCTACTCGCTGGAGACTACAATCCTGGTGCGGATGCTTCATTGGATCTGATTCATCCGCGTCTGCCAGTGCCATTAGCCACTGGTGATTTGAGTGCCGCAGAAATATGAACCAGACTCAGGCTACGGTTGATGTTTCATTCTTTGTTGCCAGTGCGGCGTTTTATACCTTTATTTAACTCCCATTATAACGCTACGTATTTCATCAACTGCATATTTTTTTATTTGAATGCGATAAACTACAAAAACACGCACTTGTACAATTTCACACAGTACAAGCGTGGTCACGTGCTTCGACTCTCTCTCTCTTCTGATTTCGCTCGCGCTTTCAGCGTCATTCGCGAGTCTCATGTACTAAATCTGGTACCAAAATATTTCAGACCAGCTTCGGAATTTATTATATGTGGGAACCGTTCGGAAGAAGACCTCTGGACCAACATACTTTGATTATTGTTTATTCGCTGACCTGGGCCAACGACGAACTATTTAAAAGAGAACAATTGTTAGTGAGTCTGTTCCATCTGACCTCTTCATTATTGTATACCCAACCTATCGTTATTAGTTTTAGTTTTTTGCCACATACTCCTGGTAAACTAACTTATTGGGCAGCCAGACCACTACACCAGATCATACGCTGTAAATCTCTCGGTCGCTTTCAGT